CTCGCTGCCTACGAACGGATCTTACGCGCGGTTTTTTTTTATATTTATACATTTCCTGATCGGTAAACCTGCTTTTCTTAAGCTGATGTTTACGCCATTTTTGCCATAAACTAAGACATTGTCATTGCCAATGTTAAAGATTATTTCTCGCTAGTCCCCAACAGAAAATTCTCCGTGTACTTTTCAACTAAGAACTGTTAATATGGTGTTTCTTATTAGGACATGTACCTATAATGAAAAAAAACTAAAATGTACATTAAAAACAATAAAAAGACACGCTAAATAAATTTATTGAGATCGGTCCTGGATACGTATGCAAAACTTTGAAGTTATTTGGATGTCTTGAAATTAGTGATAATTATGGTTGAGAGGTCGCCATATACATACGGTTATCGTGGTATGGATATGTGATGCGTAGAGAGAATATGCATGTGACTAGGAGACGTATGGAAATGGTAGTGCAAGGTAGAGTGGGAAGAGGTCGACCGAAGAAGACATGGATGGAGTGTGTGAATGACGATATGAGAGAGAGAGGAGAGAGTGTGACGGCTAATAGAAGAGAATGGAATAGAAAAATTCGCTGTGCCGACCCCAGCTAGTGGGATAACACACTTGGTGACGTACTGTGGAGAGTGAGAGAGAGGCTGCCGGTCTGTAACCTGGAACCAAGTTAAGGAGCAAGCGCAAGAAAGGACTACCCTAGGACTACTGCTATGGTTGAAAGATTCTCTTACATAGACAATACACATACATTACTGGTGGTAGGACCTCTTGTGAGTCCGCACGTGTAGGTACCACCACCCCGCCTATTTCTGCCGTGAAACAGTAATGCGTTTCGGTTTGAAGAGTGAGGTAGCCGTTGTAACTATACTGAGGCCTTAGAACTTATATCTCAAGGTGGGTGGCGCATTTACGTTGTAGATGTCTATGGACTCCAGTAACCACTTAACACCAGGTGGACTGTGAGCTCGTCTACCCACCTCCTCCTCCGTGCGTCGTATTCCTCAGTTCTGAGGGTCGTGACCTTTACTGAGCACTTTTGTCAGGACTTTGTTCTTCCATTAACTTCTGTCCTCCGCGCAGTGGATAGCGACATTGATGCTGGATTCCAAAGTCGTCTTAATCTGATCGGACCAGCGCATGGGACTACGCCCCCTAGGCCTCTTTCCTTCCACTTTGCCGCTGATGAGAAGTCTTTCGAGATTGTCACCCTTTTTTCTCGCAACGTGACCGAAAAACTCTAAGATCCTACGTAGGCAAATGGTGGAGAGTCTTAAAGGAGACGCCTAGTTCTTCCAGGATTGATGCGTTTGTCCGATGCGCCGTCCAGGCAATCCGCAGCATTTTCCTCCAGCACCACATCTCAAACGCCTACCCACCTAAGCAATAAAAAAAAAGCACATAAACAAATATTATCAAATTCACTATTGCCAAACACCAAAAGTGGCGTTTAAGTTGTTTCTCTTTTGTAGCTTCCAGCGATTCCTTGTGCCATACACGACCGATTCGTCAGCTTAATACAAATAACAATCAAAACCTAACAAAGGTTTTATTTAGATTTTTCCGCAACGAACCTAAAAGGTTATTTCGATTGACGTGAATTTGTTTTCATTGCCGCCAATTAATACGCGAGCACGTTTTCATTGTTGTAAATTGATAGTCTTCGGAGTTAGAACTAATTTTAGCTCATTGAATTTGTGAGGGGTTTTAATTTATCAACCTTTTTAATGTAGTAAACTAATTTGCTAATTTATTCGAATTGAAGGGGCCTATGTTCAGCAGTGGACGTTGATAATGAAGCTAATTTACAGGCCAAGGTTTTCTTTTTTAATAAATGAAATCAAATCAAATCAATTTTTTTATCTATACATTAATACGTGAAGCAAAAACTTTGGACCCCTTCTTACGAAAATTGCGCGGACGGAGGAGTATGAAATTTCCCTCACTTATAGAGAATATAGAGAAGGAGTGCAGAATGTTAATATTTTTTTTAAATTATGCATAAAAAATACGTTAACTCAATAAAAAAAACAATACACACACTACCATGTTTTTTGACACACACACGCACGCTTACTTGTACTGCATATACTACACTTGTTATTGTCAAACTGTTCTTATTGCTTAAATAAAGACTGTGGTCAAATTGAGAATAGATTAAATATTGTTTGTCTTTGTTAATATTTGTCTAAAGTGTAGTCTTAGCGAAATCTGTGATTAAATAGAAGTCTTAGACAATAGAATCATAATAGTGTATATACAAACTTATAATTTATAGTCAAATTTCGACTACCGGGGGAGCATTAGTTCAACATAAATGAAGGTACATACTTGTTGAACGTCAATAAGAACTACCGCCAATTCACAAAAACTAGCCTCCGCCCTGAGAAGAATAGGCAAGAAACTCAGCGGACATGTCTTTTTTATTTTAAATATATATTTTTTTTTTAATATTAGGTATTAGATCGAATAATCGAAGCAGCTGGTTTTGTTCGGACGATGCACGCTAAGAGCTCGCAAGTATTAGTACCGTCATCATTACTTCTCGTCCGAGCGTCGCTAGAATAGTCTCTTACAGTACCAACGATTAGGTAGAGAAAAGGACCTACACAATCTCTGGCTTTCTGGTATGCAAGAAAGGCATCCTTCAAATGCCTTCAAAACTTTTTACTGGTGGTAGGACCTCTTGTGAGTCCGGACGAATAGGTACCACCGCCTTGCCTATTTCTGCCGTGAAGCAGTAATGCGTTTCGCGAATGCGCGAATTTTAGGGTCCTACCCACTAAGCGACTCCCCTGTGCACTCTTCGCCCAAGCGTCCGATCCCCTCCGAGGTCAGAACCCGGATGAGGAAGGGGGGAGAGTATTACGCCCATCTGATGGTTTTTTTATTGCTTAGGTGGGCGGACGAGCTCACAGTCCATCTGATGGTGAGTGGTTACCGTCACCCATAGACTTCAACTATGCCAGGGGCAGAGCTAAGTCGCTACCTACCATTAAATACTCTCCACAAGCCTTGTTAGAAGAAGGACATGTCATAGCGCTCGGGAAGCACCGTGGAGGGGAGCTCATTCCAAAGCCGGATGGTACGTGGAAAAAACGATCTTTGTAAACGCAGTGTGGATAAGACTACTCTCCAGTAACCGTATAACATCATACTCTATGAACTCATACTCTATGAATACAAATTTAAAAACAACTAAAGTCTACGCTGCCCACATTCCATTGGATAACTACTTTTATATATTTTACTGCTTTAGGACCTTATTCATTTTTATTCTAATTCGAAATCGAAATGGCTCCAAATCATTGGTACCCCAATCAGTGCTATCATTGAAGAGCTAAGCTTTGAGCAGTTAAGTCTACACGGCACCAATTAAAACCACCATATTCTTCCCGCAATTAATTAATATGTTCAACAATATATCTTGAGACAATAGGCGCGATGACGCTCTATCTTAACTATGCTCTTAATTCCACTGATGATGACTGATCATAGTCCTTAACTATGACGTAGACCACGGATTTGTAATAATGCAGTACAAAAATCCATACAGCATCATTCCAGTTTGGATTCAATCTAGCTTAGTACATTTTTATTTATTTATTTACTTATTGGATTGGTGGACGAGTTCATGCCCTACCTGGTGTTAAATGGTTACTGGAGTCCATAGACATCTACAACGTAAATGCCGCCACTTTGAGACATGAGTTGTAAGGTCTCAGTTTTAACAGTACAACGGCTGCCCTGCCCTTCAGACCGAAACGCATTACTGCTTCACGGCAGAAATAGGCAGGGTGGTACATACCCGTGCGGACTCACAAGACGTCCTAACACCACTAATTACGCAAATTATAATTTTACGGGTTTGATTCATCCATACTAATTGATTGAGTTCATCCATACTACCTGGAGCCACTGCGGTCATCCACAGTGCGTTTCCAGAGGTCTTTTTTGCCACGTACCATCCGACTTTGGAATGAGCTCCCCTCCACGGTGTTTCCCGGGCGCTATGACATGTCCTTCTTCAAACGAGGCTTGTGGAGAGTATTAAGCGGTAGGCAGCAGCTTGGCTCTGCCCCTGGCATTGCTGAAGTCCATGGGCGACAGTAACCACTCACCATCAGGTGGGCCGTATGCTCGTCTGCCTACAAGGGCAATAAAAAAAAAATTATTACACGATGTTATTCCTTCAACGTAGAAGTCAATCGTGAACGTTTGTTAAGTACGTATTTCATTGGAAAAATTGGTACCCGCCTAGAGGATTCGAACACCGGTGCATCGCTACATACGAATGCACCGGGCGTCTTATCCTCTAGGCCATGACGACTTCAATTGCAATTGAAAATTTGTATTTCAGTTTTATCTTAATTGACTAAAAAAAAGATAGGCTTTGTGGAAGAGTATTTGCGAGAGAAGAGTGTGAGTACAGAGATGAGGTATGATAGACCTGAATTGGAAAAGATATGCCGACTCCACCTAGTGGGCTAAGGGTATAAAAAGTTTTTTTACTAATATTTTCAGTGTACACTAAGTACAGGTCGTCGCGGCTTAAAAAATAAAACGGCCGGTGCATTCGTGTTGAGCAATACACGGGATGTTCGAATCCCAGGCGGGTACCAATTTTTCTAATGAAATACGTACTCAAAAAACTGTTCACTATTGACTTCCACGGTGAAGGAATAACATCGGGTAATAAAAACCAAACCCGCAAATTTTAATTTGCGTAATTACTGATGGTAGGACCTCTAGTCAGGCTGCGCGGGTAGGTACTACCACCCTGCCTATTTCTGCCTTGAAGCAGTAATGCGTTTCAGTTTAAAGGGCGGGGCAGCCGTTGTAACTATTCTTGAGACCTTAGAACTTATATCTCAAGGTGGGTGGCGCATTTACGTCGTAGATGTCTATGGGCTCCAGTAACTACGTAACACCAGGTGGGCTGTGAGCTCGTCCACCCTTCTAAACATTAAAAAAAGTATATTCCACTGCACTTGTTTCAGTGCTTTGTGACGGCCGGGGTGTGTCTCAACATGGCCAGCCACGGACTGGTGATGGGTTTCTCGGCCATCTTAGTACCGCAACTCCAGCAGCCCGATTCACCGATACCCGTTGACTACTCCACAGGATCGTGGATCGGTAAGGTCTAACTTCTTAATTAAAACATACATCATCATCACAGTCGGTTGCTCTTGGCGGAGCAGTCGTGGTCATGTAGAATTCTTGTTTATTAAAGCCTTGACGGATGTTTTCCATAGCTTGCGAACCGAGACCTGGCGCACGTACTCGTTAAGTAGGGGTTCAGTAAGGTCTTTCATCTGATCAGTCCAGCGCATAGGGATTCGTCCACGAGATCTCTTACCATTAAAGCCAACAATCACCATTAACTTCTATTATACTTTTATAATATAATCACAAATTTCGCTAAAACTATATTAAAGATAAATAATATTAAAGATAAATAATATTAAAGACAAAAAATATTAATCTATTCTCCGTTTGACCACAGACTTTAAACAATAACAAAAGTTTGACAATTGACAATAAACAAAGAATATAATCATTATTATATATATGTCTGTGCTGTGTCAAATACATGATAGTCTGTGTAATGATTTTTTTTCTTGATTTAATGTATTTTTTAAAAAACATATTAGCATTCTGCACTCCTTCTCTACATTCTCTATAAGTGTGAGATATTTCATACTCCTCCGTCCGCGCAATTTTCGTAATAATCTAAAGATAATCAAAACTCAAACACCAAACCAGTTCAAACAACAAACCAGGCACTGTCATCTGGCCTCAATTTAGAATTGCCTACGTTATGGGTACCATAGACTGACATGCATATTTTTACATATTTTAATAAATACATACATAGATAATAAACACCCAGATAAAGCCTCTAACTACTGCACCAACGTGTCAGTCAAAAAATTAATTATACAATTCAACATAAACGAATTTTTTATCGAAAACAAAAAATTAGCTGAATTTTTTTTTACGTATCATTAATTAACTAGATGATGACTTCGCTCGGTTTTTTTTTGATAACGCCATCTTGTTGTGTCTTTAAAGCGGTTAGTTGCCCTCAATTAAGAAAAATAGTAATATTATTCGCCAATAGATGTCGGGAAGAGTTGATTATTGAAAACACGAATAAAACAACATTTTCTGAAAATAAATCGTAGCGATTTATCGCCCCCGAAATCCTCTGTATACTAAATTTTATGAAAATCGTTGAAGCCGTTTCCGAGATTCAGATTATATATAATATATTAATATACAAGAATTAGTCGTTTAAAGGTATAAGATTATAAGGAAAATATTGCAACGTTGCGTTGTAATTGTTACAGAGGCATTCTTTTATTTCGATTAGCTCGCATTAACCCTCATATCAAGTTTAAGGTACTTTAAGTGCTCACAGGAAACCACGGAACCTACAAAAAATGAGGTCTAAAATCTAAATCATAATTGTGTATAAAGTAAAGTAATTGTAAAGTTTAAAACTATCACAACTTTTTTATTATTATTGTTGCTTAGATGGGTGGACGACCCCACCTCGTTTTAAGTGGTTACCAGAGCACATAGATATCTACAACGTAAATGCACCCCCCATCTTGAGACATGATTTCTAAGGTCTCAGCTTTAACAGTACAACGCCTGCCTTTCAAACCAGAAGACATTACTGCTTCACGGCAGAAGTAGGCAGGGTGGTGCTACCCGAATGGATTCACAAGACGCTTTACCTCCAAATAAACCTCAAATAATCTTCTTTTTTTTATTGCTTAGATGGGTGGACGAGCTCACCGCCCACCTGGTGTTAAGTGGTTACTGGAGCCCATGGACATCTACAACGTAAATGCGCCACCCACCTTGAGATATAAGTTCTAAGGTCTCAAGTAAGTTACAACGGCTGCCCCACTCTTCAAACCGAAACGCATTACTGCTTCACGGCAGAAATAGGCAGGGTGGTGGTACCTACCCGCGCGGACTCACAAGAGGTCCTACCACCAGTAAAATATCATCTGGAATCTGGATCTAGAAATAAATAGAAATATTCTTCAGAATATTTTTCAAAAACGTTGTTTTCGTTACAGCTTCGATCCCCGGCTTCGCTTTGGTCGTCGGAAACTTCATCGTCCCCACAATCATGGCTAAATACGGACGACGAACAGCAAATCTCATCAGCATAGCTCCCATGATCACCGGCTGGTTCAATATATTGCTGGCAAGAAATGTTTCTGCCTTACTCATCGCAAGATTCAATCAAGGCATAGCTATGGGCATGAGCGCTTCCCTGGGACCCGTCCTAATCGGAGAATACACCAGCCCCAATAATCGAGGTGCATTCCTGACGAGTATCTCATTGACGATCGCCACAGGAGTTCTGGCGGTCCACAGTATGGGCTCGTATTTGTCATGGCAAACGACTGCCTTGGTTTGCGCATTCATTGCCTTTGTGGATCTTCTGATCGTGATCTACTCACCGGAATCGCCGAGTTGGTTGGCCGACCAAGGACGCTATGACGAATGCCGGAAAGTCTTCAGATGGTTGAGAAGCGAAGAAGAGGAAGAGGAATTGGAGAGAATGATAGAAGCGGCCATAGTCGTGAGAGAGTCGAAAGCGGACGTCAATCTTTCAGAATCGTTCTTAAATAAAGTCAAAAGAAACGTTTCACACTTCTGCTCAACGATCATGAAAAGAGAGTTTTACAGACCTATTTTTATCATGATGCACATTTACACGTTAGGACAATGGGCTGGAGCTAACATCCTAGCTGCTTATACTGTAGACATATTCACGGCTGTCATAGGAGAAGACATAAATATGCCTTTGTTAATAATAACGCTGGACGCCCAGAGAATCGTTTCGAACGCCGCAGCCATTTTTGTCATTAAGAAAATTAAGAGACGGACAATGCTGTTTTCGACTGTTACCTTAAATTTGTTCGCTTTTATCTCCACCGCTGCTTATACGTATTGTAAAGGGCGCGGTTTGTTACCTTTCGACCATCCCGTCATAGGTATAGCTCTGATACACATCCACATGTTCACAATAGCGACGGGCACAGTCCCATTACCCTTCATTATAGCAGGAGAATTGTTCCCTCTGGAGTTCAGGAGTCTAGCCGGTGGTATAAGCGTACTGTTCTTATCAACGAATCTATTTATAGCCGTTAAAACGTTTTCACTATTATTAAAGTCCATCGGTATACACGGTGCGTATCTGATATATGCTGGCGTCGTAGCTTATTGCTTGGTTATAGCTGGCTTCTTCCTGCCAGAAACGAAAGACCGGACGCTACAAGAAATAGAAGACGAATTCCGAGGTAGACCGTTAACTGTTGAGGAGTTGAAATCCACTCAGTCGTTGACCTCGTGGAAGCTAAGAAGCCAAGACAGACGTTGCAGCAGTCCTGTTGTATAGTTGCCTATATAAGCGTTTGAGCTCAGAAATCGTCTGATCATTAGTAATGGCGATATCCATAGCCTATATATTCAAATATTGATAGTAGGATACGAAATAAACATATTAAATATGCTATAAAATATTAAATCGTATATAGCCAAAACCGACAACTCAAGACAGATCAGCCTGGCGCGGTAGAGTGAGGAGACCCGACCCCAGATAACGGGAACAGGGTCGGATAGTAGTAGTAGTATATATCTATATTTCGTCCGTCAAGCATCTAGTACGAAATAGCACAGGGAAGGGACTAGAGCTTTCGTTTTCCCGCAATTTCTGGGACTGCTGTGTTGTGACTGCGAACGTTGTTTTTTAATTAAATGTCACACTTGGAGACTAGCCAACAAAAAAACTTTCTAATCGACAATATAATTGCATAATCAAAAAACTAAAAGTAGGTATAGCTTATTTGAGTAATTCTTTATCCATAATATGCATTTAATTAATTTGGAAAAAAACGCTAAAAAATCTCGGTCCTTAACCTGTTAAATTATTATGGCAATCACAAAGTACAATGTACCTGTCGTTAGTTAGGATGAATAACTATCATTTTCGGCGATATGAATTTTTATATATAAAGGTATATATTTAAAACCGAACTAATAATTTAATATTAAAACAATAATAAAATAAGACATAAACATTATCAAAAGCAAAACATTAACTGTCCCCTTCGCACTCATAAGCTAGACCGCGCGAGAGAGAGATGGGCAGAGTTTTCGTGATGCGCATGCAGTGCGACGTCACGCCGCGCGCTTATTCACAAACACTACACAAGCGCAACGTGTGAATGTGATGAACGCGATGGTACATGGTAGGCGGGGTGGGAGGTGTTAAGGTTTATTTTCGTTACGGAATTTCTTGATTCGGACGCCGCGCTCAAAGCCCGCGATAAAAGCTATGCAATATATAAAATCAGTTGACCACCGTTTTTTCTCTCACATCACTCACTTAAAAACATTAAGGATTGTTGTTTGATGCCGGGTTTCATTCGTCAGCTGCATTGAATTAGAATGAAGATTCACTAATTATTAATTACCTAGATACCATAAATACTTATACTAAATTTAGCAACGGGATATTTTCCTTTGCTGAAATAATAATAAAATATGTTAAGTAACCAATACCTTACCTACGGAGCCGAAACGTGGACACTGACTGTGCGACTAGTCCACCAATTAAAAGTTACTCAGCGGGCTATGGAGCGAGCTATGCTCGGTTTGTCATTGCGAGACCGAATACGCAATGAGGTCATTCGGGCAAAAACCAAAGTGATCGATATAGCTCGCAGAGTTAGTAAGCTGAAGTGGCAGTGGGCTGGTCACATATGTCGCAGAACCGATAACCGTTGGGGTAGACGTGTTCTGGAGTGGAGACCGCGAACCGGCAAACGTAGTGTGGGACGCCCTCCTGCTAGATGGAGCGACGACCTGCGCAAGGCAGCTGGCAGTAACTGGATGCGTAGAACCGAAGATCGGGTTCAGTGGCGAGCTTTGGGGGAGGCCTTTGTCCAGCAGTGGACTGCCGCAGGCTGATGATGATGATGAAATAACCAATGTTATTAATTATTAACCAATCAATTTTATACTTAACCTTTGACGTTCAAAATTAGCTTAAGACAATAAAACACGAAGTCTCGTTTACTATATTACTGTTTTTAGTCTTGGGTGATAGACAAGGACCGCTTGATAGAAAGCGGTCAGTTATACTTGTGTACATCAGTAGTGCCAAAAGCACAGCCAAGCCGCTACCGATCCCTTTTCCAGACCTCGCTTGGAGAGGGATGCACATTGTTGTAGTTTGTTGATGAGCTCACTAGGAATACGAGTTACTTATTTGTTATTTTTATTTCTGACTAGCTGACCCGGCAGAATTCGTAGTGCCTCAATCGATAAATAAAAGACCTAAACTTTGGTATAAAATAAACTTAAAACAAAAGGAATTCGTCCTACGGGGGACTCATCAATGGGAAAACAAAATTGTTATTTTTATTTAATTCCGAGCATTTTCATGTTTGTCTGTCTACCTTTTAAACATTCTCTGGACTTTCACAAATAATTCAAGACCAAAAGTAGCCAAATTGGTCAAGCCGTTCTCGAGTTTTAGCGAAACTAACGAACAGAAATTCATTTTTATATATATAAATGAAAAGACATTGCAATTAAAAAGCCAAGCGAGATTTTAGCGCGCTATGTTTGAACGAAGCTTTAAGTGTTGTAAGTAAGTCACTATTTGCCTAGGTGGCGGTCATAATTTAATGAATGACCACTTCAGATAGAAATACTTCAAAAGGGCGTCAGTCATCTTTGCTCGGTAGATCGAAAGCATCAATTTGACAATTGACGTCGAATTAATACTGAAAAAAAAACATGTGTGCAATTCACACGTGTTAGAAGTCAAACCTTCAAAAATTAAAATACAATTATCCTAAATGTCTAAGTATATTATGTAAAATTTTGTCATTAGTAAATAATTGTAAATCATCTTTTATAGTATGAGGTAGCGCCCTCTGTGAATCGATATTTTAACGTAACGTATAATCCTAAATTGAAATTCACTACAAGAGGTTTCATACGCACGTTAGTATTAAAAAATTTCATAGATGGCGCTGTGTTAAAAAATTTCGACACTTCCGTTGCATACCTGCGTGACGTTACATCTGTAAAAATTTTACCCTCATGCGCCTAAAGAAGTTTCGCTTCAACAAAAAAATACATACCAATTAACTATCTTGTTTCATCTTAGGACTAGATCCTAAAGAGTTCAAAAACATGTGATATTAATTAAATATTTATAAGATATTACGATATACATAAATTATTAATCAGTTAATATTTTTAAGTCCGATATATTGTTATTTGCGAATTAAATTCGTTATAACAACAAAACAAAAAAAATATTATTTATTGTATTTACATACATTTGAATGTACTTTTTAATGAAAAATAAATATATTATGAGAATAAATGAATTGTTATTTAATGGGATCCTCAACTTTCCGATAGCCGAAATTAGTTTTGCTATCGACGGGGCTTCTAATCTTAAGCACGATATTAGAAGAACGGACGGACGGATTATATAAGTATAAAGCTATAGCTAAAGCGCTTTTTCATTAGGTCTATTGTACACTATAGTGTAGTGATTTTCGGTCATAGTTAGTATGGTATAGCGTGTAAACAGCTACACCGTGTGAGGTTTTTAGGTTTTTATTGCCGTATAGACAGAGGAGCATAGGGCCCACCTAATAGTGAGTCGTCAGCAATGTCAGGGGCGGAGTCAAGCTACTGCCTACCGTTAAGTACTCTCCATAAGCCTCGTTTGAAGAAGGATATGTCATAGCGCTCGGGAAACACCTTAGAGGGGAGCTCATTACAAAGCGGGATGGTACGCGACAAAAAAGATCTCTGGAAGCGCACTGTAGATGAACGCAATGGCTATAGGTAGTATAGATGAACTCTACTCCGATGGCGGGCGGTGCGAAGAGTTTTATTTTTATTTTGTTTTATTGCCCTTGTAGGCAAACGAACATACGGCCCACCTGATGGTGAGTGGTTACCGTCGCCCATGGACTTCAAAAATGCCAGGGGCACAGCTAAGCCGCTGTCTACCGTTTAATGCTCTCCACAAGCCTCGTTTGCAGAAGGACATGTCATAGCGCTCGGGAAACACCGTGGAGGGGAGCTCATTCCATAGCCGGATGGTAAGTGGCAAAAAAGATCTCTGGAAGCGCACTGTGGATGAACGCAGTGGCTCTAGGCAGTATGGATGAACTCTACTCCGATGTCGGGCGGTGCAGTGGCTTAAAGAAGCGTGTCGCGAACTGTGGGAATAGTTTCAGCGAGCCATAGTTACTATATGGTGTTTGTCAGAGGTACATCCACCGTTTCACAGCGTTGCCACATACCCTCGCACCTCCCAGCTGCCTCGCAGCCTTTGGTGGGAAGGCAGCTTAACACTGGCCCTAGCAAAAGCAGTGCTTCGCAGAATCTACCACCGGATTGGAATCGGGACCCACTGAGAAGATCCGGCGAGAAACTCTGCGGATTAATTTCATTGTATCCACGAAATGAAACTAAAATCATTTCATTGTATTCACAAAATGAAACTAAAATCACGTAGGTTTCATTTAGGACATCCAATATTACAATTAAACTCAAGGAATTGGCGAAATTCATTAACAGTTCAACTTGACGTAAAATATTATTTTGAATAAACAAACAAACATGATGAACGTTGATAACGATTTATTAAAAATTGTAAAGGGTAAGTAATTTGTAAGATTTACAATGGCTATTTTAAAATAATACTGTCAGAAAATTAAAAATTAAACAAGCAACATTGATTTATACACATAATAAAATAATATGTTGTATAATAACTTTTTGTTTGATAACTTTATAGTTCGGCAATATTAGCTGTGTATGTTTTTCTTTTATTTTATTGCATGTATGGGTGGAGGAACTCACAGTCCACCTGGTGTTAAGTGATTACCGGAGCCCATTACATAAATGCTGCCACCCCCCTTGAGATATGAGTTTTTTTTTTTTTTTATTGCTTAGATGGGTGGACGTGCTTACAGCCCACCTGGTGCTAAGTGGTTACTAGAGCCCATAGAAATCTACAACGTAAATACGCCACCCACCTTGAGACATGAGTTCTAAAGTCTCAAGTATACTTACAACGGCTGCCCCACCCTTCAAACCGAAACGCATTACTGCTGCACGGCAGAAATAGGCAGGGTGGTGGTACCTACCCGCGCGGATTCACATGAGGCCCTACCACCAGTAATTACGCAAATTATAATTTTGCGGGTTTGATTTTTATTACACGATGCTATTCCTTCACCGTGGAAGTCAATCGTGAATATTTGTTGAATACGTATTTCATTAGGAAAATTGGTACCCGCCTGCGGGATCGAACACCGGTGCATCGCTCAACACGTATGCATCGGACGTCTTATCCTTTAGGCCACGACGATGTACACTAGCCGTCGACGACATTCGTCAAACACGTCTTTATAAAACCACTTAAGTGTATAAAACCAGTTAGAAGAACCCAATTAATGAAAACAAAACAAAAAAAACATTAGTGTTGTATTGGTTAGACGGCCATAAATTCCGTGACAATTTAATTTGCTTAAAAGTAAAGAAATTATAACTGATCGCGCTCTCAAAATACATTAATTTGTAACTCAAACGTTCATTCGGTAAAATTAGGTACTCGATCAGAGACCGTAGCGTTAACAAGAGTCTCGCGTTTTATAAATAGAACCAGCAAATAACGAGCATAAATCTGGACGGTCCGTAAATGTTGAGAGCGAACCGCGGGCCCGCGGACTCCTCTTGCATTCTGTTAACGGACGTCCAATCTCCGCCCGGGGTCAGAACCCGGGTAAGGTAGGTATGGTATGGTTTCCCGCGGTCAACTCTACACTACGAGCGGCGCTATCCCGAGGATGTCCGTTGTTGACGACACCGGCACCTACCTGATGTACGGGGGCCCGTCCGGATACTCGGGCGGTGTCGCTGGTAAGATAACCCGCTGGATAGCCCGAATAAGCCTTTTTTTAGGTGGAGGCCGAACCTCCTACGAAACTCCCCACCTAGGGGGCGCGCGGGATATCTGAAACTCAATGGGCTGCAGATGCTGGAAGTAAAACGCGGGCACAAGGATGATATTTTGGGCCCTACACACTAAACGACTCCCCTACGCTTTCTCCCAAATGTCCGATCCCTCCTGATTTCATAGTTCGAACGGAGTAAGGAGGTTAGGGTGGTCAACGCCGCAACCAGACGCGCGACTCCCCAAAGAACGCTCGGCCGAAGGAGCCTTCAAGGCGATCCGATCGCTCTGAATAATCGACCATTGACACCTCCGACCACAAGGTGGACCCCTCGAGGAGACTGACCTAACTACATACAAGCTTTAGTCAACTTTTAGGCGATCGATGATTAAATAACTCACAATAAGCACACTCGACATGTTATCATGTGGAAATGAAAAACCACTCATTAATTATTATAACTGTTATCCACGGGCCCAATTAGTGGAAGCCAATCTTATTCCTGTTCGCTAAAATTAACATTTAAGATAATATCAATATCCAATTAATTGCAATTCAAACCTTTGTGAAAATTAGTGTCGGAACGCACTTGCGCATTCATCTAAATACGAACGACTAAAATACAGTGCTCGCTGCAGTATGTAATATAAACAATTATAAAATAAAAATCATACAAACATATCTGCAATATGCCTCGTCGCAGACAATGGATGACGCCATTTATAAATCAGGTAAAAATTGCACAAAAATATTAATCAAGTGCTCTGAGAAATTGATCGATTGACACATCATGCACTTTTAAAAAAAAAAAGTAGAAGTTATACTTTATTTTTATTAAATTTATTTCTTATGTTTTATATATTAAATAATTAATAATAAATATTTAACGTTAATAATTTAATAATATTTAGTATTAATTATATTAAATAATAATGTTATCATTTATATTACTAAAAAATGAATGCTAATAACACTTTTTTTTACGAGTGTACATGCGCGAAAGTTCACCTGCGGCTATATTCAGACTCGCCAAGTTACGTCAGTCGTATTGTAATGAGCGATTTAGTGGGCAACTTCATTCTGTTAATTTTGTGTCACGGTGCGCGCGCATCGTAAAATTTAACTCTCATAAATTTTGTCATAACGCGCCTAAAGAAGTATAACTTCAACAATTGTAGTAATTTTTAATTAAGAATTTTTTTATTAATCTGTTTATTAACCGATCTATCCATTGTTACCATGAAGACGTGTTTTTTTTTGTAGTTTTCGAACTGGATACTTTTTAACTGTAATTCTATCCGTGTCTTTAGACATTGTTAACCTTATTTTATGCTATTGAAGTCAAGAGACTATTGGTACCGCCTCGTGATGTACGAACGAATATTTGACACTTTTAGTTTCTATCAGGAGGTCTGTGATGGCATTCGCGTTGTGATGGAATCAGTTAACTACCAAACCGTTATAATACACAAAATCGATAGTCATACTTATTGGTGGTAGGACCTCTTGTGAGTCCGCACGGGTAGTTACCACCACCCTATCTATTTCTGCCGTGAAGCAGTAATGCGTTTCGGTTTGAAAGGCGGAGCAACCGTTGTAACTATACTGAGACCTTAGAACTTATATCTGAAGGTGAGTGGCCCATTTACGTTGTAGATGTCTATAGGCTCCAGTAAACACTTAACACCAAGTGGTCGGTCTGTAAGCTCGTCCACCCATCTAAGTAATAAATAAATAAAACTTATTTTAATTATTTATTCATTCAAACATTTTCAGTGCTTCGCCACATCAGGTGTGACACTCAACATGTTGACACACGGCTTCATGTACGGATTCAATACGGGACTGTTCGCACAGTTGAGGAAGACTAAAGAGATACAGTTGGATTTGGAGTTAGAGTCTTGGCTGGGTAAGGGAAGGATGTTTCAAAATTATTCTCAGCAAACATACATAAGACGTTAGCTGGGTTGCGTTCAAGTGTTCTTCTTTTTTAATTGCTGCTTAGTTAAGTAGACCAGCTCACGGCTCACTTGGTATTAAGGATTTACTGCAGCTACAACAACATAAATACCGCCACACACTTTGAGACTTCTTTTCTAAGTATCAGTTTCATAGTATAGCAACTATCCCGATCCTTCAAGCCGAAACACATGCTTCACGGCAAAAGTAGACAAGGTGTTGGTATTCTACACAGGCTCATAAGATCAAGCCTACCACCAGCTATTATGAAAAATATTTTTTTTGCGGGTTTGTCTTTTATTAAACGACTAGTGGCACGCACCGGCTCCGCTCGGGTCTTTAACAAAAATTTCAACGACGTTCATTTATTTATTTGTTAAATAAAAGAACACTTATTGCGGCATAACTATAATAATTAGTCATATGTTGTCGGGACACTTTTTGTAAATAATAATGTGCTCTACAAAGTCGTAGAACATTATTTCGTTCTATCATCAATAGTTTTCGCAGGGCACGCGATGTAAAGAATATTTCAGGAATTTTTTTTACACCATGAGTTACATTATTGGAATTTTAGTAAGGATCCCTAATTTTTTCAAAAAAGACTATAGCCCGTGTCTCTCGAGAATAGTGTAGCTTCCAAACAGTGAAAGAATTTTTCAAATCGGTTCAGTAGTTTCAAAGCCTATTCAATACAAACAAATCTTTCCTCTTTATAATATTAGTGCAGATGTTATTCCTTAATTGTGGAAGTCATTCGTGAACATGTGTTTAGTGCGAGTTTCATTAGAAACATTAGTACCCGTCTACATGATTGGAACACCGGCTCAGCTGCATCGCTCGATACGAATGCCCAGGTGTCTTAAGCTTTAGGCCACGATGACTTCAAGCTTTTATTTAGAAGTTCAGATACAGAGGAAAGTTACCCAGTATTTCACGAAGAAGAATAAAAACTAATCAAGTCATTAAATCAAAATGCGTTAAAATTATAAACTTACTTAATAATGAGTTACTACGTAGGGCTAATTTTGAGCACATAGCACCAATTTACCTCATTCTGCTGCTAAGTATTCATGTGATTCATTCTTAAAGGGCGAGACAGTCATTTTGTCTAGCAAATAAATGTTGACTGCCCATTCGCAACTTTTGATATTCTTTCCACTACCTATAATTTACTATATGCTTTTCATGTATTTTTTGCAGCCTCGTCAACCAACTTATCATTCATCGTTGGAACGCTATTCAGTTCAATATTCATGGATCGTTTCGGCAGGAGACCTGCATTCATAATTGCATCGGCCACCATGATAATCAGCTGGTTAATATTCATTGCAGCTAAATCCTTCACCGCTTTATTAGTTGCCAAAATATTTCAAGGATTCTCTGCAGGTGTTGAAAGTACTACAGGCTACATTTTAGTAGGGGAATACGTTAGCCCTAATTACAGAGCATCATTCTTGGCAAGTATTCAACCGTCCATGCTGTTTGGGGATTTCTTAACCCACGGTTTAAGTTCTATATGCGATTGGCGTAATGTAGCTATTATTCTTGCATTCTTTTCGATCCCTGGATTGGCGTTTGTTGTTTTTTCACCGGAATCACCGAGTTTTTTGGCAAAAATCGGAAAGCATGACCAATGTAAAAAGGTGTTCTACTGGCTAAGAGGTCCCGATGAAAATAATGAAGTTGAAATGTTGATTAGGACCAATTTACCTTCGAAACAAAATGCTATTAACAATGATAAGATAAATGGTTACAAAAAAGTGATACATAAATTGTCCTTCTTTGATACTTTTTTAAAGAAAAGAGAACTACGTATTTCGCTCTTTATCATGATTCATTTGCAACTTATTAACTTGTTTTCCGGTGCTTTTCTGTATGATAATTACACTGTAGACGTACATACAGCTGTATTTGGTACCGACAAAGATCAGTACATGTATTTAATTGTAATGTATTTAGATATAGTGAGAATGTCCTCATCAATATTCTCTGTTTTTCTCACGCAAAAATTAAAACGGCGTAACATGCTCCTAAGCTTAGTCAGCCTTAACATATTAATGTATCTATTACTCGGAATGTATGTACTATGCAAAAATCATAACTTATTACCATTTGATCACATATCGATCGGTATGACTCTGTATGGTTTTAACTATTTTTCTTTAGCGGCTGGATCTGCTTCTTTACCTAATATTGTGGCCGGAGAAATATTCCCTTTGGCCAATAGAAGCGCTTGTGGGGTGGTTTGTAACATAATGGCTTCATTATACACGTTCATCAATATCAAAAACATTCCTTATATCTTTTCTAAAGTTGGTGTCAGCGGAGTTTTCTTTATGAACGCCGCCCTACTCTCATATGCCCTCGGCATGACAATGTACACGTTACCAGAAACAAAAGATAAAACGCTCTTAGAAATAGAAATCATATTAAGAGGGTGTCCTATTGCTGATGATGATGAGACAATGATTAATCTGAAAAAACATAATGAGACAAACTTCTAATAAAATCCAAAGAATAAACTAACTACATTGACTCGCAAACTTAAAGTAAGTGCAGATTCGGAGATGAAAATTCATGTATCCTTTTGTGTCAACTCAATATACGCAAAAATTTCAAAGATTCCAGAACTCATTACAGCATTATATTCTTGATCTCTCATAACCATAAATGCTGACTTACCAAAATGGTTCAATGACCCGAAAATAATTTTGTTTTTTGACGCGAAAAATCTCCAATAAAATCTCTTCTCCACTAATGCATGCCATGCTACTCTTGGACTCCGAGGGCTACAAGATATCTTCTAACTTTATTAAGCCGGCGCGGTCAACGAATGCTTGGTTTCTCAAGCATTAGCGATCGTATCGTACGAAAGTTCGAGCAGGCTGCGTGAGTGGGGCATATATTATAACTGTAAGGAAGGCACTGGGTAAAGAAGAAGATGTAAGAAAGAGCACGAAGCAAAAAAACCATATGATTTCAAATGATCCGAGTCGAAGAATAGTGTAGTGAGGATTAGAATATTGTGTGTATAGAATGGATACTGGTTCGTTTTGACATGCTAGTACATTTGGACCACCTTTGTTATTGTCCGACAGCTGTCAATAAAAGTTAGAATACTTTTTGCTTAAAATCGATTTCAGTACATATTCTTTATCCAATATCCTTCTTTATTGCATTTGAGGCAGATGAGAGCACACGCCACACCAGATGGTGAGTGGTTACTGTCGCTCATAGGCGTACTAATATCATGAAGTACTATTCGAACACCTCATCTGATGAAGCACATGTCAAGCTCAAGAAATTAGGTGGACAGAAATGGAATTTAATTTATTCTTTTAATTTTTTCGTGAAGAACGTGTGATTGGTCCATCATGAGTTACGTGGCAAGTGGATATCCCAAAGTGAATGGAAATATCAGTAGCATGGTAAAACATACAATTGACTTTTCTCAAAACCACGGCTGATATGGAAAGGGCGATGGTACTTGGTAAAGGTTAAAATTGGAAAAAATATCATTATAAAAAAAAACTTCTTCACCTGTTTGAAAGGACTAAACGTGATTGAAGTTCAATTCAAAACTGTTGATGCTAATATCAAATAAAACGCACCTTTCAACACTAATACAACAACACTAATAGGATGTCTCTTCACTTCCCTAATCATAGACAGAATTGGCCGGAGATCTGCAGTGCTTATCAGCTCAGTTATCATAGTCTGCGGTTGGATAACATTCAACTTGGCTTCATCGTTTCCTGCCTTATTATTAGCAAAAATATTTCAAGAAACATCTGTGGGTCTTGGAACCTTAATGGGTGGTATTTTAATTGCAGAATACAGCAGTTCAAAATACCGAGGATCTATCATCGCAACAAAGCCTACAGCTATGTTGATTGGAATTTCAACTTCGCATTTGCTTGGATTGTTTTATAACTGGTCTCATATTTCTCTAATATTTTTATTTTACTCTTTACCCGGATTGTTAATTGCTTTCTGTATTTACACGGGAATCACCGACTTTTTTGGCAACTAAAGAACGTTACGATGAATGCAGATAGGTTTTCTGCTGGTTGGTCTAAACGACGATGACGAACTGGAGGAGAACATGATCGAAGCCGATGTGATCCTCAAAAAAGCCAAGAAAAGTTATACAAAGAAAGTGTCAATATTGATTAAGGAAAATTTTACATACTTTGTCAAGTCGTTCAAAATGCGTGAATTTCACGTTCTGCTATTTATAGTGATACATTTAAATGTTCTTTTTCAATTTTCCGATGCTATTGTTCACGATTTGTATCCTTTGAACATTCACACAGCCTTATATGGTACTAGCATTTACATGTTCAAAGTGATCATCATCATTAATCATCATCATCATCATCATCATCATCATCACCAGCCTACAGCACTCCACTGCTGCTCGCCACTGAACACGATCCTCGGTTTCTTTCATCCACCTCCTGCCTGTAATAATAGTAAAGTAAAGTAATAAAAGTAATCGCATCATTTGATATGCAAAGAATTTTATCTACTGTTTTTGCATTTTATTTAACCTCTAAAATAAGAAGGCGTCCGCTCTTGCTCGCGCTTATGGGACTGAATGTACTAGCGTTTCTGTGTGGGGCCAGATACATATACGCTAGGCGTCACAATCTTCTACCTTTTGATCATATAGCTATTGTGATATGCTTGCAACTTTCCCATTTGTTCACCAGCGGAGCTGGCGCTACTTCTTTGCCCACAATAATTAGTAATGAATTATATCCAATGGCAAATAGAGGTTTGTGTGGATCAATTTGTAATGCATTTTTCTCGATTCACATGTTTGTAAACATCAAAACCGCGCCGTATTTATTCTCTCTGATTGGTGTAGATGGAACGTTTTGGTCCTATGCAGTGGTGCTGTTTTATAGTCTGTTTGCGTCTTAAGCGCTGGGGTTCGGGATAAATAAAACTTCCACTGAAATAAAAATTAAAACTTTATCACTTAGAACACTCACAGAACGCTTTACAATTTGTAATCCGCTTCGCTTCAAGTGATCCGTTCGCTATTTCGCTTCGAGTAGATCCGATTACTAAATCCGTATCAACTCTGCAACGCTTTTATAGTGAATACGAAATCCTTAGAATTATCGAGAACGTTCCTGACAAGTAAAGTAGTTTCAGTAAGTGTTTCCACTATTTGACAATAGATGGCGTTGTGCTTCCCAAGCGTTCTCGATTTTACTAGTTCTTTTGATAGTCGTTTCGGCTATTCAATGATAGATGACGTTGCTCTTACCGGTAAAATAGTATGGCATCAAAAAGTAAAGATAAGGCTCTTCAAGAAATAGAAGATAAACTCAGAGGATAATCTATAGCTCGTCGTAGTAAAACTTTGAGCTTGAAATGTGAGGATTGTAAGGAAATCGTTCTTAACAAGTAAAACTTTTTTTTGTAAAATTACAATTAGAGTCCCCCGCCAAATAGCCTAGCTGTGTTCCGGCATGTGAGTTGGAGAGCCAGTTCTATTCCTTCCCTTTCCTCTTCCTTGTTTGGGGTGATCCTTGGTGATACTTGGAACTTGCAGAGCAGACTAGCTTGCGAACTTGCGGGACACGATCGTTTGATGGGGGTCTAGGGAGACCCTGTGAAATGGTATTCGCCACCGCCCGCCGGTCAGTAGGAGACCTGAACCCAGGTGTCACTACTAAACTCCGCCCCGGGAAGCTGTTCCATTAAGCGGGTACAATCTTGTCATGCGATCGACGTTGCGGGCCATTCCACGCCTTGTGTCAGCCTCTTACACAACCGGTGGCCGAGCACACGCTATGTTCCTGCTTTATTCAGGTATTGCTATGAATTTACCGCGAAATTCCTACCTCACCCACTCCCACTATCCACATAAAAGTCTATTATTTTTTTTATCGAAGATACCCCAGTCCACATTTAATGTTATGTTTAATGTTTCAGCAATGTTAGGGGCTTACATAGCAACCTGGAGGGCATACACCACCACCTTGAGACGGCGCAGCCTGCCCTACTTTTTCTGACAGAGACGCAGATATCTCGGACGCCGACGTCCGTCGAGGCGATCGTCATCGACCTACGACACCGGTCCCCGCAGTACGGGGGCTTTTCAGGCCACTCGGGCGGTGTCGCTAGAAGGATAAGAATCAGCCTTTCTGTTAGGCTGGATGCTGAACTTCCTAGAAAGATCCCGCACCTAGGGGTCGCGCTGGGTATGTGAGACTCGACGGTCCGCAAATATTGAGAGCAAACCGTGAACCCAAGGATGATTTTAGGGCCATTTTTTGTGCCGAGGCCGTTCCTCCTACGAAATTGAGCACCCGGGATGTCTGTAACTCGACAGTCTGTAAATTTTAGAAGTGAACTACGGGCTCACGGGGAGTATTTAGGGAACTACACACTAAGCGACTCCCCTGAACTTACTCCTAAGCTTTTGATCCTCCCCGAGGTCTGAATCCGAACGGAGTAAGGGGTCATCGCAGTCAACACTGCAACCAGACGCGCGACTGACACAAAGAACTTCAAGGCGAAACGAAGGTTCTGGAAAGTCGGCTGTCTCGGTACGTCGGCCCGTCAGGCAAGCGGGTCCACTGGTTCTGACATATCCCGCTGTATCGGACTGAGTCTAGACGCGATACACCACAAACCGGTCGCTCTTTTGATGTCACTCCTGAGCGGCGCGCTAACGCATGGACATGTTATCATGTCGAAATTAAAAATCTTTATTAAATATAATATATGTCGGCGCAACGTCACTATTTAGTTAACTAAAAATAGTTAAAGTTAACCGTTTCCTTAATGTTACGCATGTCAACTACAAGTACCCCCACTTTGTACTATAAATACGAGTGATTATTGTCGCACAAAACTAGGCAGGGAGTTCATGCCCGGGCAGAGGGTTTTTTTTTTTTTTTTTTTTTCGGGCCGGGGGCCGTACCTCCTACGAGGTCCCCGCGCCTCGGGGGCGTGCGGGGTATGTGAGACTCAACGATCTGCAGGTGTTGAGAGCAGATCGTGGGCCCAAGGATTTTAGGACCCACCCACTAAACGACTCCCCTGCACTCTTACACCCGACGTCCGATCTCCGTCCGGGGTCAGAACCCAGTCAGAGTAGGGGGTTCCCGCGGTCAACCAGACACGCGGCGCCACCCCGAGGACGCCCGACGTAGTCGACGATCAACGACGTCGGTCTCCGCGGTGCCGCTGGTGTTCCGGGATAGGGAATTGCCCCAAGGCCCGATCCCCCCCCCAAGGGGACACGAAGACCCGACGGCGCACAAAACATTTCGGTTCGAGCAGCCGAACGAGGCGGAGCTCTCTTTTATTATCGCTGTACACTTTGAATGTTATCAATGTAATTCATTGGAAAAGTGAGTCTTAACTAATGTCACTACGGAAAGCAATCATAATGGTGAAGAGAATGGTGCCAGCAATGCTGGCGTTATCATTTTAAAAACACCAACGAACCATCCTGATTCGTCATAAATGTTGTCCAGGGGCCCAACTTGTGGAAGCCTTACCTTATTCGTGTTCGCTAAAGTTTACATTTAAAACAATATTAATGTGCAATCCAATTAATCGCTATTCAAACCAATGTGAACATTACTGCTGCACTTAGGCATTCATCAAAATGCAAACGACTTAAATACAGTGCTCGCTGCGTACTTTTAAATACGATTATAAAATAAAAATCTTCAACATATTATCTACAAAATGCCTCGTCGCAGACAATGGATGACGCCATTTATAAAACAAGTAAAATTTTCAAAAATTATTATTAAACCGCTCTGAGAAATTGTTCGATTGACACATCATGCAATTTTGAAAATAATTGTATTTGTAATTGTAATTTAAAGTATTTTTTTAATTTAGAAAATTCTGTATCAACACATTTTTAACCATCTGCTTATGTTTTTAAACACCTGTTTATTAATTTATCTATCCATTGTTATCAAAAAGACGTGTTTTTTTTTGTAGTTTTCGAACTGAATTTTAGACACAAATAGAATTACAGTTAACATTCGTTAACCTTATTTATATTTTTTTATCTTGTTGATTTTGTGTGCTATAGAAGTCAAGAAACTATTGGTGCCACCTCATGCTACTCAAACGAATATTTGACACTTTTAGTTTTGATCAGAAGATCGGTAATGGCATTCAGGTTGTGATGGCACATACCACAGATAGCATCAATAGTAAAAATTATACTGAATTTAATTATTATAATTATTAATATTCAAATATTTTCAGTGTTTCGTCACATCAGGTGTGACACTCAATATGTTGACACACGGCTTCATGTACGGATTCAATACGGGACTGTTCGCACAGTTGAGGAAGACTAAAGAAATACAGTTGGATTTGGAGTTAGAGTCTTGGCTGGGTAAGGGAATGGATGTTTAAGAATTTTCTGAGCAACCGTACAGATGACCTCAGTTGGGTTGCGTTCTAGTGTTTTCTATTTAAGTTATGACTTAGATAAATAGACCAGCTCACGGCCCACCTGGTATTAAGTGTTTACCAGAGCCCAAAGACATCAACATCATAAATACCGCCACACACTTTGAGACTTCATTTCTAAGTCTCAGTTTTATAGTACAGCAAGGTGCCTTGATCCTTCAAGCCGAAACACATGACCGCTACACGGCAGAAGTAGGCAGGGTCTTGGTACCCCATACGGGCTCATAAGATTATATTTTTTGCGGATTTGTCTTTTATTAAACGATGTTCTTCCTTAATTGTGGCAGTCATTCGTGAACATGTGTTCAGTGCGCGTTTCATTAGAAGCATTAGTACCTGTCTACATGATTCGAACACCGGATAGCTGTATCGCTCGATCCGAATGCCCAGGTGTCTTAACCTTTAAGCCACGATGACTGCTAGCTTTTATTCCGAAGTTCAGATACAGTGGGAAGTTACTAAGTATTTCACGAGGAAGAATAAAAACTAATCAAGTGCGTTAAATCAAATCATCAATCAAAATGCGGTAAAATTATAAATTTGCCTAATAATTAATTGCATCGTAGGTCTAATTTTGAGCACATAGCACTAATGTACCTCATTCTGCTGCTAAGTATTCATGTGATTCATTCTTAAAGGACGAGACAGTCATTTTGTCTAGCAAATAAATGATGACTGCCCATTCGCATCTTTTGATATTCTTTCCACTACCTATTACTATATGCTTTACATGTATTTTTTTGCAGCGTCGTCAACCAGCTTATCATTCATCGTTGGATCGCTATTCAGTTCAATATTCATGGATCGGTTCGGCAGGAGACCTGCATTCATAATTGCATCGGCCACCATGATAATCAGCTGGTTAATATTCATTGCAGCTAAATCCTTCACCGCTTTATTAGTTGCCAAAATATTTCAAGGCTTCTCTGCAGGTGTTGAAAGTACTACAGGCTACATTTTAGTAGGGGAATACGTTAGCCCTAATCACAGAGCATCATTCTTAGCAAGTTTTCAACCGGTCATGTTGTTTGGGGATTTTCTAACCCACAGNGCCACCATGATAATCAGCTGGTTAATATTCATTGCAGCTAAATCCTTCACCGCTTTATTAGTTGCCAAAATATTTCAAGGCTTCTCTGCAGGTGTTGAAAGTACTACAGGCTACATTTTAGTAGGGGAATACGTTAGCCCTAATCACAGAGCATCATTCTTAGCAAGTTTTCAACCGGTCATGTTGTTTGGGGATTTTCTAACCCACGGTTTAAGTTCTATATGCGATTGGCGTAATGTAGCTATTATTCTTGCATTTCTTTCGATCCCTGGATTGGCGTTAATTGTTTTTTCACCGGAATCACCGAGCTTTTTGGCAAAAATCGGAAAGCATGACCAATGTAAAAAGGTGTTCTACTGGCTAAGAGGTCTCAATGAAAATAATGAAGTTGAAATGTTGATTAAGACTAATTTACCTTCAAAACAAAATGCTATTAACAATGATAAGATAAATGGTTACAAAAAAGTGATACATAAATTATCCTTGATTGGTACTTTTTTTAAAAAGAGAGAGGTACGTATTTCGCTCTTTATCATGGTTCATATGCAACTTATTAACCTGTTTTCCGGTTCTATACTGTATGATATTTATACTGTAGACATACATACAGCTGTATTTGGTACTGACAAAGATCAGTACATGTATTTAATTGTAATGTATTTAGATATAGTGAGAATTTTGTCATCAATATTCTCTGTTTTTCTCACGCAAAAAATGAGACGGCGTAGCATGCTCCTAAGCTTAGTCGGCCTTAACATACTAATGTATCTTTTACTCGGAATTTATGTACTATGCAAAAATCATAACTTATTACCATTTGATCACATATCGATCGGTATAATTCTGTATGGTTTTAACTATTTCTCTTTAGCGGCTGGATCTGTTTCATTACCAAATATTGTGGCCGGAGAAATATTCCCTTTGGCAAATAGAAGCGCTTGTGGAATGATTTGTAATATAACATTTTCATTATACATGTTCGTTAATATCAAAAACGTTCCTTATATCTTTTCTGGAGCTGGGGTCAGCGGAGTTTTTTTTATGAACGCCGCCCTGCTTTCATATGCCCTCGGCATGACAATGTACACGTTACCGGAAACAAAAGATAAAACGCTCTTAGAAATAGAAAACATATTAAGAGGATGTCCTATTGCTGATGATGATGAGACAATGATTAATCTGAAAGAACATAATGAGACAAATTTCTAATAAAATCTAAAGAATAAACTAACTACATTGACTCGCAAACTTAAAGTAAGTGCAGATTCGGAGATAAAAATTCGTGTATCCTCTTGTGTCAACTCAATACACGCATAGCCTTCCAAGATTCTAAAACTCATTGTAGCATTATATTCTTTATCTCTCATAGCCATAAATGCTGACTTACCAAAATAGCTTAGGAGGCCTTTTCTCCACTAATGCATGCCATGCTACTCTTGGACTCCGGGGGCTACAAGATACCTTCTAACTTTAACAAACCGGCGGCACCAGCGAATGCTTGGTTCCTTAATAGCGATCGTATCGCACGAAAGTTCAAGAAGGTTCGGCTGCGTGCCAGAACTTAGAGAGGTTACTTACTTAGAGAGGAACTTGGGTAAAGAAGATGTAAGAAAGAGCACGAAGTGAGAAAACGATATAATTTCAAATGATCCGAGTCGAAGAATAGTGTAGTGAGGGTTAGAATCTTGTGTGTATAGAATGGATACTGGTTCGTGTCGTACTTGCGAGTAAATTTTGACCACCTTTGTTATTGTCCGATAGCTGTCAATAAAAGTTACAATACTTTTTGGTTAAAACCGATTTCAATATCCTTTATCCAATATCCTTTTTTATTGCCGTTTTAGTTCATGGCTGTTTTCGCGTTAATAAGGCCAACGGCACGGCCAAGCCGCTACTACCACGGAGTGCTCTCCGAAAACCTCGTATTAAAAAGTACATGTCATAAAGCTCAAGAAATTAGGGGGAGAGAGGTGGAATTTAATTTATTCATTAAATTTTTTCTTGAAGAGAATATTTTAGTGAATCTTTTGTTAAGTGGCACGTTGATATCCCAAAATGAATGGAAATATCACTAGCATGGCTATACAACGGACTTATCTCAAAACCGAATGGCAGTAGTATTTCGCGGCAGATATGGATAGGGTGGTGGTGCTGCGGAGGTTCCTACTACAATTATAATCAGGAGAGACGAGAATTTAAGAAGGAGATGATAATTGAGGAAAAGAAACTGCTACTATGGGTAAATTGAAATAATTTCTTGGCAAATGGGGTCTTTGGTTCCAAGATGGCGGATGAAGTGGTATCCCTGGTGGAAAAGATTAAATTTTCAGCTTACGTAATATTTCATGTCTGTGGGTAAACAGATAAGCTATATGTCATGCTTAATTTTTCAATTAGTAAATGACCGGAAAAGTCAAAAATTCGAATTGACAACACACAGATTGGTAGGCTTCAATGCGCACAGCCAAATACTAAATTCAAATTAATTATTGTAATTTCAACAGAAAATACGACTATCGAAGCGGGTTTGCCCAATTTAAAAGAGATAATTTAGAATTTATGTAAATCATTTGTCAAGTTCGTACTAGTACTCTATTGTTGTTTCTCATTATCATTGCTTTTTTTAAACATATTGTACCAAAGACATTCATACAGGTATTTCTAGAGATGAGAAAATAATATAGAAACTGCGACTGGGGATTACTGGTAGTTTCCGCCATTAGGAGCGAGCATAGGGTCGGATTAGGGTCGGAAAAGCAACGCGCCGCCCTCGTCGCGGTCATAGGAGAGGACCTCTCGCTGCCGCGCGTCGTGGCTACGATGCTCGGCAGCGATGGGTCCTGGAAGGCAATGCTCGACTTCTACGAGTCCATCGTCTCGCAGAAGGAGGCGGCGGAGCGAGAGAGGGAGAGCTCTTCCCTTTCCGCACCGATCCGTCGCCGTCGAGCCGGGGGCCGGAGGCGGGAATACGCCCGTACGTCCCGGCCCCTGTAGGTAGCGGCCTCCCCCCGGTGAAGGTCAAGGGGCGACCTGAGGGGGTAGAGGCCGCGTGGCGCGCTACCAGCACTCTAGCGCGCTGCTGTGGAGTAATAGAGCGACCGGTCGACGGTGTATCGCGTCCCAACCCGGCAGGCTGGTTCTAGTCCAGCAGGGTATTCCGGGACACCAGCGGCACCGTCTCGGCGGCCTGATGGGCTGCCGTACTGAGACGGCCGACGTTTCAGAGCCTTCGATTCGCCTCGAAGACTCCGTCGGCTGGGTGTCCTTGGGGTGAGCCGCGCCGTCTGGTTGTAGTGTTGACCGCGGTAAACCCCCTACCTCATCCGGGTTCTGACCTCGGAGGGGATCGGACGTCGGGTGTAAGGGTGCAGGGGAGTCGTTTAGTGGGTGGGCCCTAAAATCCTTGGGCCCGCGGTCTGCGGTGAGAAGTAGCCTTTTTTAAATTTATTTTTTATTTCTTAGATGGATGGACGAGCTCACAGTCTACCTGGTGTTAAGTGGTCACTGGAGCCCATATCTACAACGTAAATGCGCCACCCACCTTGAGATATAAGTTCTAAGGTCTGAGTATTTTTACAACGGCTACCCCACCCTTCAAACCGAAACGCATTGCTCCCTTACGGCAGAAATAGGCGAAAAGGGCAATGGTACCAACCCGCGCGAACTCACAAGAGGTCCTACCACCAGTAAAAAAGTGAGTGTAGGTCTCTTCATATGCACTCCATTCTTTTCGATCTATTGTCTTTCGCGACCAGTCCCCACCATCTATTTTGATTAGGTCTATTCACCTCATTGATTGTCTGCCCAATAGATAAATAGATACTTCTAAAAATTTACAAATAGACAAAGTTATTTTCGAATTTTTAATATTAGCTATATAATGTAGACATTCTAAGAGTTTATGGGTATTTTTTGTTTTTCATCTGATTATAGTCTATAAAGCATAGATTTTCCTCTAAATTAATTCATCTCTACCTATGAAAACTATATAAGAATCGGTGATATAGTACCAGAGATTTGCAACTTTTCATAAAATAAAGCTTATCTCTATTTAAACTTTATTTCCAGCCATACATAAATTACGTTTTGAATAGCCAGTATTGTAAAAATCAACATAAAAGGCCGTTTTCCTATTGATTTAGTGTCATCTGGGAAGCCCAATGCGTGGCTAATCATACTAATACAGTCGAGTTAGATCCGCCAATTTAAATCTTCAGGTCCTGAAAGATGGAAATCTCTTTTAGACACGGCACGGACTTTATTGAAGTAAGGTCAGACAAGATTCATAGGAAAAAATGTAACTTAGACAAAATCTAAGTTATTTAAATAGGCCTTTGCATGTACTTTTCCATCGCCATGACTTTATCTGCGAGTTATTTCAGACTCCAAATATGAAATCAAGATTGTAACCAAAAATAATTTAACTGTTTTGCCGTAATGAATTCAGTGAGGTAACTTATTATACTGTAATAATAATACAGGTAATGTTGGAGTGTGGAAACAGTGTTTGGAAACTTTAAACTGTGTTAAAGGCCCTTCAACTACAAACAAGAAATATTATCATAATTAACGGCTTTAATACGAGCAAAATTAAAAATTCAAATGAATTTAGTAGGTACTTAATTAGATAATAATATTATTTTCAGTTTGAAATAAACATAGGCTAAGATAGCTTGTCCTGAAAAAGATACATTTTCGTTATTCTGTAAGAATGTGCCGAGCTAGGCGATCAATGACACCTTTCTGGAAGCAAGTAAGTCAATATTAGGAGTATTCAAATACATAGAAATCTACACCTCCTTACGGATCCATCAGATCCAATAACTCTTGCATTAGATACCTTCAGCTCTAACACTAGGAGCAGGCTAAGGAACCCCGGTAACCGTACTCGTCGAATTCGACAAAGAGGTCGACGTGTAACCTAACCCATGCATCAGCCCGCTGAATTTCTCGCCGGATCTTCTCAGTGGGTCGCGATTTCGATCCGGTAGTAGATACATTCGCGAAGCAATTGCTCTTGAGTTGCTAGGTCTCCTTCGGAGACGCTCGGGCAGTTGTTAGCAAATCCCACCCCTCCTGGCTGAGCCTTTGCTCGCCCACCTGTCCTGGTGAAGCTGGAAAGGCCTCCGGGCCACCAGTAATGTTTCAATCAGAAAAAAAAAAACATACAAATCTACCTTCTTGGGGTGAGCCGCGCCGTCTGGTTGTAGTGTTGACCGCGGTAGCCCCCCTACCTCATCCGGGTTCTGACCTCGGAGGGGATCGGACGTCGGGCGTAAGAGTGCAGGGGAGTCGTTTAGTGGGTGGGTCCTAAAATCCTTGGGCCCGCGGTCTGCTCACAACACCATGCAGATCGTTGAGTCTCACATACCCCGCGCGCCCCTTTTGCGCAGGGACCTCGTAGGAGGTTCGGCACTACAACCGAAAAAAAAAAAAAAAAAAAAAAAAAAGTGTGAAAGGTTTAAGGGAAATTTTTGCAGCATTTACAGAAGAGCCATTTAAAGTTTAAAATTTGGAAAAAATATCATTACAAAAAACACTTCTTCACCTATTTGAATGGAGTAAACATAATTGAAGTTCAATTAAAAACTGTTGATACATACTAATACCAAATAAAACACGTCTTATAAAGATGAATATCGCGTATTAAGCGAAATGTCGCTTAGACAAAAATAGTCTTTCACCCCTCGATATCATAATAATATCTTTTCCTTGTTTTGTAATTGAAATGCTTCCGTATAAATTGTCTCAAATTATAATTTTTCTCCTTTTTTGGGTACCAAAAGTGTAAATTAATTATCGACCTCACTCGAAAATTCCAGTGCTTTGCCGTATCGAGTGTGACCTTAAACACGATTTCATCTGGGATGTGTATCGGGTTTAACGCGTCACTGTTCTCAGACCTGAGGAGGAGTCGAGAGATACACTTGGATAAGGATTCGGAGTCATGGTTAGGTATGAAAATTTTACTAGCAGTAATAGAGAAATAATTAGCGTGTGTTGTATCAAGTGTTGTAATTAAGCAAAGGTTCAAATAAGACAGAAAGACACGAATAACAATTCTTCTAGAGGAGTAGTCGTTTCAGTTACCTCAATACTGAGGGTCGTGACCACCTCCTCGCAACAAGAGTTTATTCCGAATCATTCTACGCCATTTGTTCTTATCTGCCGCCGAGTGAAGAGCATCGTGAACTGTGGTGTCGAGGGTAGTGCGGATCTGGCCCGTCCAACGTGCTGAGCCCCTACCTCGTGGTCTTCTTCCATCCACCTTGCCAGTCACTATTAGCTTCTCCAAGCTACCGTTATCCTTTCTGACAATGTGGCCAAAGTATTCCAGAACTTTACGTAGGCAGATGGTAGAAAACCTCGTCTTTATCTGGAGTTCATGGAGGATCGACACGTTGGTGCGACGTGCTGTCCGGGGAATTCCTAGCATCTTTCACCAGCACCACATCTCGAATGCACTAATTCGGTCGCGGTCGTGTATGCCTAAAGTTATTTAATTTTAGCAGTATGTTTTAGCTTGAGAGGAAACCGCCCGTCTTAGACATAAGCGACGAACAATTCGTTCAGAAAAAAATACATTGGCTATGTAATAAAAAGTTAAACTACGCAAATTTTAATAATCTCACCACCGATGTCGTAAATTATTCAAACTTATACTTAAATTTAGCTAAGGAAATAACCGTGAAGAATGTTTTATAATTTACGTTCTACTAAAGATCTAATTAGTTTTATTGTTCCATTGTATTTCAATCATAACTAAATATGCTATAACATATTCTTTCAGCATCACTGATCGGGATAACAACACTAATAGGATGTCTCTTCACTTCGCTAATCATAGACAGAATTGGCCGGAGACCTGCAGTTCTTATCAGCTCAGTTCTCATGGTTTGCGGTTGGATAACATTCAGCTTGGCTTCATCGTTTTCTGCCTTATTATTAGCAAAGATATTTCAAGGAACATCTGTGGGTCTTGGGACCACAATGGGCGGTATTTTAATTGCAGAATACAGCAGTCCAAAATACCGAGGATCTTTCATCGCAACAAAACCTACTGCTATGTTAATTGGTATTACAACTTCGCATTTGCTTGGATTGTTTTATAACTGGTCTCATATATCTCTAATACTATTATTTTGCTCTTTACCTGGATTGATAATTCCTATATTTACACCGGAATCACCGACTTTTTTGGCGACTAAAGGGCGCTATGATGAATGCCGAAAGGTTTTCCGCTGGCTGAGAGGTCCAGAGGACGATGACGAAGTGGAAAAAATAATCGAAGCCGATATGATCGTCAAAAAACCCAAGAAAAGCTATACAAAGAACGTGCCGAAATTGATTAAGGAAAACTTAACATACTTTATTATGTCGTTCAAAAAGCGTGAATTTTACATTCCAGTATTTATAGCAATACATTTGAATGCTATTTTTCAATTTTCTGGTGCTATTGTCTACGATTCGTATCCTTTGGACATTCACACAGCATTATATGGTACGGATATTTACATGGTTAAAGTAATCGCATCGCTTGATATGGAAAGAATGTTGTCTACTGCTTTAGCAATTTATTTAACTTCTAGAATAAGAAGGCGTCCGCTCTTATTCGCGTTTGTAGGACTGAATGTACTAGCGTTTCTGTGTGTGGCCGGATACATATACGCTAGGCGTCACAATCTTCTACCTTTTGACCATATAGCTATTGTGATCTTTTTGCAACATTTCCATATGTTCACCAGCGGAGCTGGCGCTACTTCTTTGACCACAATACTTAGTAATGAATTATATCCAATGGCAAATAGAGGTTTGTGTGGATTAATTTGTAATGCATTTTTCTCGATTTACATGTTTGTAAATATCAAAACCGCGCCGTATCTATTCTCTCTGATTGGTGTAGATGGAACGTTTTGTGCCTATGCAGTGGTGCTGTTTTATAGTCTGGTTGTGTCTTATTATATGGTACCGGAAACTAAAGATAAGACGCTTCAAGAAATAGAAGATAAGCTCAGAGGATATTCTATAACTCATCGTGGTGAAGCTATGAAATTAAAAGATGTTGAGTTTTGAGGATATTAAGTAAAATGTATTCGACAAACAAAACATTTAAAAATCGGAATCAAAAGTTCAAAGACGATAATTTATATCAAACATGAGCTGCAGTCATATGAGTAAATATTTCTTGTGCAAAAAGTCGGCTGTTTTTAAATCTATGACATTTAAACTAGTATACCTATCTAGTTTATTAAAATATATAAGGGGGCACGAAGGGTATGTAGTTCTTGCCGATCCGCAGATGTTGGGAGCGAACCGATGGATGTTTTTAGGTCTCTACACACCAAACGACTGCCCTTGCACCTTCTCACCCGAAGCCGATCTCCGCCTGGGGTCAAAACCGGGGCAGTGGGGTTCCCACGGTCAACACTACAGCCAGACTGGCGGCGCCACCACGAGTATACAAGACCATCGGGTCTTCAAGGCGATCGTCGACGTCAAAGAGTTAGAGGAAACTTTTGCCCCAGGCCAATAAGAATTCAAAAGCGGTCGTAATGTGACGAAAAATTTGGCTCGCTCTGTTCGCAGGCCGTCAACGTCTGCGACTGAAGTCGCAGAAGTGAAGGAAATAGTTTCTGAAAAACCTCATTAAAGTTTGAGAGAGATAGCCCCCGAGCTTTCTGTGTACCACGAGTCGATCCGTACCATTTTAAATGATCACTTGAGTGTGAAGCATGTTGCCGCTCGACTAAGCCTAAAAGACCTTAATTTTCTGCAAAAACTCATTCTCTTATGAGTCGCTGAGGACGAGCGTAAAGTCGATCAAAATCACGTTTATTTAATAATTTATTTATTTAGTCTACTTACAAATTAAGAGCATAAACCAAAACATTTGTAAGGTATTAATAATTAGCTTAAGTCATTTCTAACAAGAACAATAATACGCTGCAAACCATCATGGAATTTTCACTGGTGGTAGCACCTCTTGTGAGTCCGCACGGGTAGGTACCACCGCCCCGCCTATTTCTGCCGTGAAGCAGTAATGCGTTTCGGTTTGAAGGGTGGGCCAGCCGTTGTGACAATGCTGAGACCTTAGAACTGTATCTCAAGGTGTGTGGCGCATTTGCGTTGTAGATGTCTATGGGCTCCAGTAACTATTTCATACCAGGTGGGCTGTGAGCTCGTCCACACATCTAAGCAATAAAAAAAATATATATTTATATCGATTTCCGGATGTTAACTGTTTTATTTGAATATTGAGGTGTTGTGCATTCGGAATTCTTGCTGGAAGGTCAAGCAATGATAAAGAATAATTAAGCGTATTAGGCCTTCACACAAGATCATCAATGTGAACAAATATTTGATCAATCACTCAACAAATGCCATCTTTTTTTCCGCCACCTATTATACCTGGTCCAGCCATAAGTTCTGTTACAAATTAAAACACATTTTTCTAATGAAATAACGTAATACTATTATAATTTATACCTACATATTTATTAAAGTCTCAACAAATAATTAAAAAAATATTCTATTTGAAATGGCCGTCTTTGGCTTTTATACAGGCATTTAATCTATTTGGCCACGAATCTATGGATTTACGCATTGGTTTCCAAGAGAAATTTCGCCACAGCTTGCTTCAAAGGTTTTTTAAGAGAATCAATGTCGCCATGTCGTTTATAGCAAGCCAAAACTCACAATAATTTGAAGTCTCAAGAGTTGAGGTCTGGGCTAGATGAGGGCCAGTCTTCAGCTCTTATAAAGTCCGTAACGTTCGTGTCAAGCCAGGCTTGGGTAGTTCGTGCCATGTGATCAGGTGCAGAATCCTATTGGAAATTCCACGGCATATTTTTAAAAAGTGTATTGCTGAGAGGTTTCACAACATAATCCAAGACTGTGTAACTTGATACACTTTGGCTGAAGCTTTCACTCCTTTCACAAAAATGTAATTTTGTGACTCCTTGATAAGACACGCTCCACCAAACCATCACTGACGCAGGATGATGACCACGTTGTACCTTTCCGGCCACTTGAGCAGCTTCTTTAGAGCTGTGAGCGTACACTTTATCATTTTGCTTATTGTAGTGTTCTTCAATTGTGAAAATTTTTTCATCGGTAAAGGGTATTTCTGGCAAGGCATTTCTGTGCCCTTCGCCTGCGTATCGCGACAGAAGGCGTTTTGATTAATCCAGTCTCTTTAATTGTAAAGATTGATTTAGGGCATGTCCTGTATATCGACGATAAGCACCGAGCTTCAGGTCTTGTTTTATAATACGCGACAGAGTATTTCTGGTCTTTTCTGGTCTTCGACAGACGAAGTGTTGTTGTATCTGTTGATAGTACAATATACGAACATACGGCTGACACCGAGCTTTCGAGGTGTCTGGAATATGACTGACGGCTCCATACCCACTCTGTGCAAGGCGATCACTGCAATCCTATTTTCTTTAACACCTCATTTCATAATATTGTAATGAAAACGAAAAAAAATGTGAAATGGCGCAAAATTGAAAGAAGTGTTTTTTAAAATAATATACGTGTTCCAAATTCAAAATAATTAAAAAGTTGAAAAAAAAAAAAAAGTTTTTATGTAACAGTATGGATGGCCAGACTAGTTATTATACTAGATTCCCCGGGCGAGACAATGCCATGGAGCAACCACCTTATTCACTAGATATAGCTCCAGCCGACATCTTTCTTTTTCTTACACTCAAATTATCACTTCGTGGTACCCGTTTTCACAAAATGTTCCGTAAAAATGTTTTGATGATTACTTTATAATTATTCATTAGCGTAAGTGTATTGTTTCTGAAGGAGCATACTTTAAAGATAATAATATAATTGGATGAATACGTAACATTTTGTCTATTATTGATGTTTTCACGGTACTTTCTTGACAGGCTAGATTAGGTATATCGAGGGGTAAGGTTTTGGTTTAAGAGACATTTTATCTTTGCAACATTTTGATATTTTAAGAAGCCCGTTGATATTTTATGGCCATTCCGATAGAGGCACCCGTCACGTGCGGACGTGCTCATCGACCACTCGATCGCCCGGTCTTTGTTCGCCCGGCCATTGTTCGCGCGGCCTGTGTTCGTGGTACATCTGCCGTCTAAGTGCTCTTCCTGGAAGTTTTTATTTGTTTTGTTTCCTTTTGTTGTTTCTGTGTTCGTGGTACATCTGCCGACAAACTGTTTTCCTGGAAGTGTTTAATTGTTCTGTTTCTTTTTGTTATTTCCGTTTTGTTGTGTTTTTTCTTTGTCCTGTAGTAATCGTGCCGCATCGCCACCTGTGTTCAATAGAACCGCTCAGGTCCGAGAAGTTGGGGCCTCGCCGCAAGGCGAGTGTTTTCAAGACCCGGGGCCGCCCCACCTGGGCACTCAGCGATCATGGACGCTGTATTCGCGGAATTCCTCCGACTTCGCCACCCACAGCTCGCCTCAGAGTTTCTGGCCTTCAAGGCCGATCACACCGCGAGCCCTCTCGTGGACTCCGCCGAGCTCGCTGCTCCTGCGTCGCCTGTACCTGCGTGCAAAGCTTCTGCATCGAGCANCATCAGATCCAATAACCTTTGCATTAGATGCCTTCAGCTCTAATACTAGGGGCAGGCTTAGGGACCCCGGTAACCGTACTCGTCGAACTCGACAAAGAGGTCGACGTGCAACCTAACCCATGCATCAGCCCGCTGAGTTTCTCGCCGGATCTTCTCAGCGGGTCGCGATTCCGATCCGGTAGTAGATTCATTCGCGAAACAATTGCTCTTGAGTTGTTAGGTCTCCTTCGGAGGCGCTCGGGCAGTTGTTAGCAAATCCCACCCCTCTTGGTTGAGCCTTTGCTCGCCCACCTGTCCTGGTGAAACTGGAAAGGCCTTCGGGCCACCAAAAACTTTCAATCATAAAAAAAAAAAAAAAAAAAGATATTTTATGGGCTTTAGTGAAATACTTCAAACGACCTACTAACATCATGCATTCATTGCAATAGAATCATAATTTTGTTGAGAAGTACGATTAATAAATCACAACTTAAAGGGAACGTGTTCCATTTTCAGTATAGTTTTTTTAAGAAATTCTTTAAATTTCTTGGAATCGCAACACATCTAGTACTTATTTGAAAATAGATATTGAGTTCCGTGTTTATGCATCTATTTGTTTGCTGATGATTATTTGCACAACTGCTCCGGAGTAAAACACATAACTGCTCAACATTTAACTGGCTAGACGTGATAAGTTTGGTGGTTAGAGGTACTCAGTCGAAGTGATAATCGTTTCTCGATAATGTCTGGTACTGGACGATGGACCACGCCGTTCTTGAAACAGGTAAAACTGATGATCAGAGTTTTTATTAGTTACTAGCGGCCCGCTCCGGCTCCGCTCGGGTCTTTAACAAAAATTTCAACGATATTAGACGTTGTTTTATTTTTTTTAATAAAAGAGCACTTATTGCGGCATAACTATAATAGTTAGAACTAAGCTGTCACGACACTTTTTCTAAATAATAATGTGTTCTACAGAGTCGTAGTACATTCTTTTATTCTATCATCAATAGTTTTCGCAGGGAACGCGACGTAAATAATATTTTAGGTAATTTTTTTACACCGTGGGTTACATTATTGGAATTTTAGTAAGGATCCCTAATTTTTTTCAAAAAAGATTATAGCCTATGTCACTCGGGAATAGTGTAGCTTCCAAAGAGTGAAATAATTTTTCAAATCGGTTCAGTAGTTTCGGAGCCTATTCAATACAAACAAACAAACAAATCTTTCCTCTTTATAATATTAGTATAGATAACGAGCAAACAATATGGACACTCGCGTCCATTAGATACTCTTTACTGGTGGTAGGACCACTTGTGAGTCCGCGCGGGTAGGTACCACCGAACTGCCTATTTCTGCCGTGAAGCAGTAATGCGTTTCGGTTTGAAGGGTGGGGCAGCCGTTGTAACTATACTGAGACTTTAGAACTTGTATCTCAAGGTGGGTGGCGCGTCTACGTTGTAGATGTCTATGGGCTCCAGTAACCACTTAACACCAGGTGGGCTGTGAGCTCGCCCACCCATCTAAGCAATAAAAAAATAAAAAAAGAGTTGCAT